CTATCAAACGTGGCTCACAACAGAACTCCAACTACAAGAGTCTATGGGCAAACCCTCTTTGATAACAAACTTGATGCATGCCAAAATTATTTAAAGACTTAAATATGAATAGGAGAATTAGATCGATACCAGGATGGGGAAGATTATGTTAAATCACCCAAAAAAAAAAAAACAAAGGTTGGGGATCACTAATCCGAGAAAAGGATAATTGGGGAATTACTCTCCCAAGGAAGGGACTCACTCACCTTCAAGAGATGAAACACTCAACTCACATATGGAAACTCAAAACACTCACAATATTGATTTTTAGCAACAAAAATCCCCTTTTCCTATTCCAATTACAAGTATAAACACCATCAAAAGCAATGGGTAAGTAGCACTAATTACCACATAGGAAATTGTTATCTCATTATTGGAACCACACCTTGACTATGGGGATTTGAGTTCCTTGAAATTCCACCTCCTCTCCTATGAAACAAAGTGATGCATGATGGAAGAGGAAGAAATAAGAGAATAGAAAAAGGAGAATAAAGAAGCAGGGGTGAAAGGAATTTAACTCATCCTCAAGAAACACACAAATTCTCTACAGAGAAATCACTTACTAATTTCACTCTCTACAATGAAATGGTAGGGACTATATCCATATTTGGGGAAACGCAATGTACGGTAGATCTACCACAATCACCAAATTAAAAATAAATTTGTCAATTAGGTGTTTGAACCCCTTTTAACAACCCAAAAAATCCGTCATGTGAGTGGGTGTAAAAATATGTCAATTGATTAATTAACACTCAATCTCACTGCGACAACAATCTCAATCAAGCCAATTGGTTACAAAATCTTTGTCAATAAATTAAAAGATTAACAATCAAATCATCAAACACATAATGCACGTGTGTGCAAATTACAAGTGCATATACAAAATTAAAGCAATAAAGAACAAGGACAATTTGTTGGCGCAGATATCATCCTCAAGAAAAACCATGGAAAACCACTTTGGAGTTCATCAAACCTATTCCACTAAACCAAATTCAATATACAGTACTCAAAACTTATACATCAACCAATAATAAGGTTAAACGCTCATTTTTTTCAACAAATCTCTCCTCTAGATTCTTTCACCAGAGTTATGGGCAACTTCACTTGAAAACTCCCATCATAGTGGATCGTTTAGGTTCTTCAAATGACCTTCACCAAGATCCTCGAGATGCGCACTTCTTCAATGGATTTTGTAACTCCAATCAAGAACCTCTTCAATATATGAAGTTGAATAATGAATTCAAGAAGAATTATTCAAGAAGAATGGCCTTTGGTCCCTTAGGAATCTAGGGTTTTAGGATCTCTTAAGATTTTAGAAGCAAAAAATAAGTTTACAAAAAAAAAATATCCTAGCTCTAGAAAGCTTCCCATATTTATAAAGCTTAGAATTAAGTCAAACTTGGGGGTTGTAAGCAAAAATTCACGAACGACTAGTCAAATAGTGGGAGATCGGTGAGAGAGAATTATTACTCGAATGAAAAAAGAACTCTGGCAAGCAAAAACCGCTCGAGCATCCAGAGGCCAACTCTACTGCCCAACTCGACAATCTTCTCCAATTTTATCCTTAAGTATTCAAAGACTGCTCTAACTAAAGACAAGCAAGCTGAGGATGATCCTTGCTGGTTTTAAAGTCAAAAACCAAGCAAAAACATGCCTTTTTAAGTACTAAAGGGTATTGGTAAAGTAGGATCCAATAAATGACTGAATCTATCTTTTTAAAAAACATTCAAGGTTTAAAAAAAATTTCAATAAAGAATCCTACAAGTCATTTACGAATATTCTCAATTCCATTTTTATACCCCCAAGTCTAAAATTAAACCAAAGGATCTAGGTCTCTAAGTTATTACCTTTGTCCTAAACTTGAAGGTAAATCGAAGTACTGTTGATAAGGTTTTGTGGCAAATCTCTCCTCCTATCTCTAATTTTCAATTTATTAATCAGATTATTCTATCTCCTCCTATTAGCCAGTATGTAGAACATTTTAGAAATACTCTCTCGTTCTTCAACCCACCAAGCCTTAACCTTTTGTCTCCAAGATATTTCCTCCATAAATCCATGTAACACCCATATTCTAGGGATACGGGTATTTATGTCATTTCATTCGCAATTTTATTAATGGCAAAGACATTTTCCCTTACTTTATAGCATGCCATTTAATTGCATAACAAGATCACATTATAAACAATGCTAAAAGTTTGTTGTTAGTGTTGAATTATTGAATAGGGCAACTAACGAGGCTAATCAATAAAAGATGAGAATTTTCGATTTATTAGGTGATAAGATTCACCAAAAGCAAAATTTATATATGCTACAATTTTCTAAAAGGCTGGTTCGTCGTGCACCAATTTTAAATATAAATCTTACCTTGAATCACCTTATCCTCCTATTCTTTCTCTCCAACATTTCACTTCTTCATCCCTTAACATTTTGTGGTCATTAAATTATAATACTTTTTTACCAAACAAATTTTTAATATGAAGGTGCAAATAATATTTGTTGTAATTTATTGTGCATTGCACGGGCTTGCGCTAGTAGAAGTATAAAAGAAGGTGTTCTGCATACTAGAGCCAACAAAAGAAGTAAAGAAGAGAGGAGGACAAAAAGAATAATAGTGGGCAATCCTGCAACGAGTAGCCACCCTTCTATCATTTCTTAATAAGATTTTTATCATTTGATGTGGTGTGTGCATACATTTGTTTAATGTAAATATCTCAACATACTGATTTGAGAAGAAGGTTTGCTGAATTCGATGAAAGAAACATGATTATGGTCCGAGTGAGGCCTAAACGGTATCCTAAAGGTGCTTATAAGAAGCTTCATTCAAAGAGTGTTGGTCCATTTAAGGTTTTCAAGAAAATTAGCTCCAATGCTTATGTTCTTGACTTACCTGACGATATGGGCATCAATAATGTCTTCAATATTGAAGATCTTACTAAATAACCAGAACACACCGACAATGGAGTACACCCTGATCCAGTACATATTTAAGGGATAAAATTGAAGGCGTGGTTGATCATCAGATTGTTTCAACTAGAAGGTGTGGTTATCAAAAATATCTCATTAAATGGAAGGGGCGTCCACTTTTAGATTGCACCTAGATTACCGGTGAACAATTTTAATATCTCAACCTTGATCTTTATAAAAAATTTTATACTTTTAACTCGCCAGGGTTGAGTCCTCTCAAACCAGAGAGAGTTGATGGAAAATAACAACGTCCAATAAAGGTGTATAAAAGACGTGGGCTAGATGGTTCTAATGTCCAAGCTTTAATTTGGTATATGTTGGATGATGTTGGGCCCACTTAGGATATTAACTAGACATGGGTTGACTTCTAAAAGTCTGCATGACTTTTCATTTGCCTTATGACCAATCATTTAGTTACTAGACATGGGCTAGATGGTTCTAATGTCCAAGCTTTAATTTGGTATATGTTGGATGATGTTGGGCCCACTTAGGATATTAACTAGACATGGGCTGACTTCTAAAAGTCTGCATGACTTTTCATTTGCCTTATGACCAATCATTTAGTTACATTAACCACAGGTTTTCTATGCATGTATCCACAGATTCATTTATTGTATTTAGCTTTTTAGGAGTTGAAAAGTTTCAACATTAATTAATTTCTAAAGTCCTATATATTGACGTAACTTCAAGACTTTGACATATAATGAATGAATATATGAAATATTCAAAAGTTTTTCTAAACTTTTAAGATTGTGTGATGCAATCCTTTCATTGGTGTGATGCTAAAGAGCCCCTAAGTGAGATGCCTTGGTTTCTAAGTGTGAGACCTAGAACTATCTTCTCTTCCTTCTAATTCTCCTTCTTATATTCTATCTCCCTCTACTGTTCACGTCTAATATTCACAGCCCCTGTTTTCAATATTTTTTCTTTCTTTAACCGCCTTCCAATTCTGTCCTACATCATATGTATTTTACATTTGTACATGTTCCAAAACAAATCAATTTAGTTTTAATATTACTCATTGGGATCATATATTTTAGTGATCTGAATTGCGAATCCACCCTGTTTGGGATTGATGTACCCAGATTGTGGGTCACCACGACTTTAGTGAATTATGATAACTATGATCTAGTTTGATCATCAATCAATAGAACTTTCTCATCTTTATGTTGTTTGTGCTTTCTTCTAATCAAAAAAGTTTATTTTACTATTATCCAATCCAAACAACTACCTAGATTTATCAAATTGTCATTTCTTCACTCTAATTCGATCCAACATGTTCAACAATGTAGTTTTATGTTATAATAAATTCTAAAGCCTTTAGTATCATACCACATCCACGTGGTATGCACTAAATCGACCTACTATTCAAGTAACATTGGAGCAAACAATCGGTAGCACCCCCACGTTTACTTTGACCAAGGCCTTCAGCGTTCAGGTTTTCATGAAAGTTCCAACTTAAGACATCATTAAATACCTCCACAGACATATTATGCATGATGACTGCCAAAACAAAGGATATGTCACCATAAAGCTGCCAAAAAAATGGAATCTTAATAGCGAGTCTGGTATACTGGTTTTTACATACAATAAACCTACAATATGATCCCCTATACATAATTATAATGAGCATAGACAAATCATCAATTTGGAATACTAATGCACAGATATAAGTGGTTAATCAAAGAAATTGGCGGTTAGAATGTAAATACAAAAGAGAGAATTATCCCACTAACCACTGCCGGCAGCAGTAACAGCCTGTCTATACTTCTTATCCTGAACATCCCCAGCAGCGAAAACCCCCTTCACACTAGTTTGTGTTGTACCAGGCTTGGTGACTACGTACCCATCAGCATCCAACTCCAACTGACCATCCAAAAACTTGGTCGCTGGCTCATGCCCAATTGCAAAAAACAAACCCGACATATTCAAATCCGAAACCTTCCCAGTCACCACATCCTTCACCTTCAAACCCCCCAATAGCCCCTTCTCCCCCACCCCATATGCCTCCACCACAACCGAATTCCAAAGAACCTCAATTTTCTCATTACTCAACGCCCTATTTTGCATTATCTTTGAAGCCCTAAACTCATCCCTTCGGTGAATTATATACACTTTGGAGCCGTATTTGGTTAAGTATGTTGCTTCCTCCATTGCCGAATCACCACCACCAATCACTGCCAGCGGCTTGTTCCGAAAAATGGGCGCCGCCCCATCACAAACTGCACAAGCCGAAATTCCTTTGTTCCAATACTTTTCGGAGCCGGTGAAATTCAATTTTTTGGCGACGGCACCAGTGGCGACAATAACAGAATCGGCTAAGACGGTTTTGGAATCGGTGAAGACCTTGAAAGGGTTGGAATTAAAATTTACTTTGTTCACGGTTTCGGTAAAAATTTGGGTGCCGAAGCGGAGCGATTGTTCGCGGCAACTGTCCATGAGGTCAAGACCGGCGATGCCGGAGGGGAAACCAGGGAAGTTTTCGACTTCGGAGGTGGTGGTGAGTTGGCCGCCAGGAGCGATGTCGTTGGCCATCCAGCCTTCGAAGAGGATTGGCTTTAGTTCGGCTCGAGCGGCGTAGATAGCAGCAGTGTGGGCGGCAGGGCCGCTTCCGATTATGCATACACGGGTTTGAAGGGTTTGGAGGTCGTCCATGGCGGAAGCGGCGGTGCAGAACTTAGGGGAGGCAAGGGAGGGTGCGGCGGCGGTGGTGAAACCGGCTAGATTATTGCGGGCTTTTCTCAAGAGGTTAAGGAGTTTTGGGAAACAGTGGCTCGTGGGCATAGCTTTTGGGTTTTGAGGGATTCTGAAGCGGGCGTCTTGGGCGGGTACGAACTTGACCAAACCTTTTAGGCGCGAAACGGGTTGCGGTGGACAGAAGACTGGAGTTTTGACTAGAGTTTTGAATCATGGTTGGCCGATTTCATTCCATCAAGAAATGAAATATCCAAAGAATGAAGTTGTCCCCCAATCACGTTCTTTCCTTCTATCATCAAGTTGCCCCCCAATCACGCAAAAGGTTATACGGTCTGGCAATGTTCAAAGAATGAATTCCAAGCGTCAATTAGCCAATTGCAACATTTGAGATTACTTGTTTTTTAGTTTCCTTACATTTAAAAACAGTTCATAGGTCTATATTCGGTGATTTTTATATTTTATTCCATAAAATGGTTAGCGTCAAAAGATGGTCGAGGAAATGCGATAAATTTCTTTAAAATTGTTTTGTGTCCAATTGATTCAAAAAACTCAAGCCATTTCAAATTTTTACAGCACAAATCTACACTAAATTCCATAGAAAAATTGTTTTACCAAGAGAAATCAAATGAAAATCGTGTCCTCTTTTACAATCACTGAACTATAGTTTGTGAATTTTGAAAAACAAGTTCGTTGAACTATTCTTGCATCATATTTAAAGGAAGTTGGTCTATCATTTGTCGTAGTTGATGATGCACAAAATTGGTTTGCACACCACCTGTCAATTAAGTAATATAAAATACAGTAAAGTAGAGGGAGAAAAGAACAAGTTTATAGTGGTTCGGTCAAGGCGACCTACGTCTACTTGGAATGGCAAGAATCACCGAAATTTTATTAACTCCGGTGCAATAGAAAAGCAAGAGATTACATGCTTTCAAAGAGGATGAGAGAATTGTGCTCAAAATGAGTGAGATGCCCCCCAAATGTTTGTGGGACTTATAATTTATAGTGGCTTAGTGTAGTAATTACATAGTTAGTCGAACGATCATAACGGGGTTGGAGCCTTTCAATAGTCATAATGGATTTGTGTGACTTTAATAATGATTAAACAGCTTGGCAACCTTTACTCTCCTCAACGACAAGGACGTTTATAATGCTCTCCAAAAGACCTGGTCAAGAGATGAGGGAAGATTGATTCTCTCCTAGCGGCAAGGGTGAGGCTCCTGGACACTCCCTTGGTGGTGTAGAAGAGGCTCCTGGATGACCTTGCATGCTTTACTCCAAGATGGTAGATGAGACTCTCAGATGACTTTGAATGCTCCTTGTTGACGTAATTCTTTGAGCTTGATGAGTTTGGCCAGATCGATTACATTGGGCTAAACTTCGTGGACCTCTTGGAGTTGGACCTTAAAACTCGGATTGGGCTTATAACATAAGTCACACCCTTGGTCTTGGCCCATTATTTGCCCCTCAATGCCCTGCATTTAAGGAACTTAGAAAGGAGGGCATTCAGTCGAGTTTGAATTTTTGACCGAACGACAATATTAGAAAAACTTCAAGAGGCTAAAATATATACTTTTAGGCCTTTTTTGAGCTTTTCTTAGCATCATTCAAGGCCAAAGTCAATGACTATTGTAGAGCTCTTCGAGAGCTTCGATTTTACATATTATAAGTCCCGTTTGGAGTTACGGGTCAAAAGTTATAGTCAAAATAGCATACACACCTCTTAAAATCCAAATTTTTCAAAAAATTCTCTTGATTGGCAACTCCATCCCTTCCAATAGATTCCTTTTGCTTGTAGGGACCCGTTGACTATATAAACTCCCTTTTTTGGATTTTTAGAAAGCCCTAGTTGCAATTTGGGACTTTTTGGGTTTTTTGCTTTTCCAAGGAGATTTTAAAACCCTAAGTTATAAATAGTAACTTTCTTTTTCATTCCACCCATTTCATTCATTCTTGAGAGAGAATGAGAGTTTTTTCTTGAAATCTTTCAAGAACCCATTGGTGAGACTTTTCGAGTTTAACATTTTGAACAATGGCAGCCAATGGTGAGAATGTTCAAAGTTTTGCAAATCTCGGTGGGGAACTCGAAAGAGTTGGCGTTGTCCTTAAAGAGGAGATGGAGGCGCAAGGCCTGAGGGAGGTTGAGCCGTCATGGGACACCTCTACTGGGTGCGTGCTTGCTATGCGCGTAATAGGAGTTCTGGGCGCTGAGCAAGCTGTTTTGGGCGAGCAGAGCATTGATTTGGGTGCCAATCTGGGTGCTGAGGTAGCTGTCTGCGTGCTACTGAACGTAAGGGAGACAAATCTGGGTGAGCAGGAGGGGCGGACAACTTTAGGCAAGCAGCCTACAGTGCTAGGTAGACTGGGCGAGCAGTCTGTTGCGCTGGGCAGCCTGGGCCAGCAGCCTGTTCAAGTAGCCTGTTCGAGTTTTTTCAGGCGTAGCTTCTCAAAATCATTCTTCTAGAGACCTTTCTAGCTCGGACAGAGCTTTACACCCTCGCGTCAAAAAACATCAAGGAAAGGTAGCTCTCGATGATGATGGGTCCAAAGTAAGTACTATCTCCAACACTTTAAATTCAGAAGCTGATATTTTACGGATTATCTGCACCTATCATATTCCTCCGATTGTGCTATGTCGTCAAGCAGAGATAGGTGAGCCTGCTTGCGATGAATCCTTTGGTGACATTGCTATTTATGAAGAGGTGCTTGAGGCTGGGCTTAGGTTCTCAATGCCTTCTCCCGTTTGTAACATTCTGAACTATTTTTTCCTGACACCTGGGCGGTTGGCGCCCAACGTTTGGAGAATGTTGTTGAGTTTCTTAGCATTATGAAAGAGGGTGCACCATGAGAATGCCTCTCTTGAGGAATTCCATGCAGCTTATTACCCAAGTGAGACTCCTGCTCCTAACCAAGGATGATATTATTTTACCACAAGGGGAGGCAAGTTGATTACTAGATTGCCCTCTAAATGTCATAGTTGAAAATCTCGTTTCATATTCGTCGGTGGAGAATGGGCTTCAGATGCTAATAAGGTGTTGATACCAACACGATGGGATGCTCCAAAAAAAGTTTGTAAGCCCTATATTCTTACTCTTTTCTTACCTTATTCTCTATAGACTATGTACTCACTATATTCCTTGCAGGTGCTCCTGTGCTCTCCAAAAGACCAAGAGTGGAAGCTACAAGCTGTGGAGGCTTACTCTACAAGGGACTTTGAAGCTTTCATACCCAAGGGTGGAGGAGTTATTGGTTCCTATTTTCGTAGGTGCCAGTGGTCCTTCTCCAAGGTCTAGCGGTCCCTCCTTGAAAAGGAAAGGTATGTTGATTCTTCTGTACCCTCTTATTTCACTTTGGATTTTATTTTTGACACTTTACTTTCATTGGAGCAGTTGATAGGGAGATGATTAGGTCCCGCCTTTCTAGTAGGAGTCCTCCTCCTTATAAGGTAACGAGGATGGAGGATGCCTCCCATGTGACCTCTCCAACTGTACCGTCCGAGGTGAGCTCTCCTCAGTCAACCCCACCAGTGAAGCCTCGGACGTCTCCTCCTCGTGAGGGAACTTCTACAAGGGTGCCGATTTGGGTTGGTCCCACGCAGGGCAACCTGCTAGTCATCAAGAAAAGGCTTGGGAGATTTGTATTTCCTCCCGAAGTTACTAAGATTAGTACCCTAGGCACCGAGGGGATTATCAACATATTTTTGGAAGGTCTGACTCAAGTAAGGGTCTGTTATCCCCCTTTCTCCAGTCCCTTCTTATGTGTTTTATCATTTCCTCTATTTTTTTACTTTTCCAGGTTTCGACAGCATATGTCTGCTTGCTTTCAAGGACCCAATATCACGGTCAACTGAAGCAGAATAATGAAGTTATCCAAAGAGAGCTTCTAGCTACTCGAGGAAGGATTATCGAGCTTGAGGCTGCTGTGAGGGTTTCTGATGTTGACCTTGTGGCAACCCGCGAGAGGGCGATTGGTCTTGATACTGAGCTTTTTGGTGACTCATAAGAGGATGGTCAGGCTCAAGGATGAGTTTGCAGTGGCCCGTGAAAGGCCTACGCTCAGTGAGGTTGAGCTTTTCGAGACCCATGGGAGGGCGGCCAAGCTCGAGGCTGAGCTTGCAGAGGTCCGTGAGAGGGTCATGCTCAGAGAGGCTGCTGCAGAGGTAGAGGTGAAGGAAGCTTATGAGAGAGCTTTGTAGGTTGAGGAGGGGGTTGTGACAGTTGAGAGGGACTTTGAGAGTGGCCTTGTAGATGCCTTCATTGACGGCTATGAGAAGGTTCAGGGAAATATTTATGCTACTTTTTCTGATATTGATGTCTCAGGCTTCTTGCCAACTGAGGCACCTGATGATAGTGATGGAGGTTCTGACGATGCCGAGGGTGATGTTGAAGAGGAAGATGACGACTATGAGAAGTTAGCGTGCTAGAAACTTTTTTTGGTTTTTTTTTTAAAGGCATTTTGTAGCCATATTTTTGTATAAGTGATTTTTGCCACGAATGTTACTTTGAAGTTGAGAAGTTGAATATGAAAATGCAAAAATCTTTTTAAAGTAAATCTAGAATTTTTATTCATTTTTCTACTTATATAAAGCCATATCGGGTAAGCCGGTAATCAACTTGCCTCCCCTTGTGGTAAAAATCTTGAAGAGGTATTATCAGTGACACCTTGAGAGAGTAGAAAAGTTGGAGACTTGGTTTTATTTTTTTTAAGACTTTTCTGTCCGAGCCAGAAAGGTCTTAAAAGTTTTGAGGTGGTCCAGTGAATTATTCGTACCATCGAAGGTTTCGACAGATGACATCTTGAACTTTTGAGAAAGTGGATAGTTCACCACATCAGGTCTGAAAGGCGTGTCGATTCGACTTACGAGATAGTCCACTGTCTCGGGTCCTTGTGCCTTCATGGCGTTGAAGATGTCACTCAATTGATTTTGCACCTCCTTAATTTTTTCATCTCAATGATTAAGAGGAGGTACTCTAGAGTTGTCACAGACATGGCTTCCATGCTCCATGCTTTGGTTTTCACCCTCATCTCTCGTGGAAAGAAGGGCCTCCACCATAGGGAGCAGGAATAAGGATTGAAGGAGGAGGTCCCTCATGATTGGCCCCCTTGTGTGGGCTGCCTAAAGGAGCTCCCATAAATGGGGTGCCCAAGGAGGTGCCTAGATGGGGAGCGCCGAGGTGGGGAGCTCCTTAGTGACCTAGGAGTGGAGCTCCCCTAA